AAACAGAATTATTTTGAAGATGCAAATAAACCAGGTAGATGGCTAGCATATAAGTTGAGAAAGGAGAAAGAATCAAGAAAAATATTGAAGTTAATAGATGATCAAGGCCAAGTTTGTTATGGTAATAAGGAGAAAAAGGAAATTATTCGAGATTTCTATGGGCAACTATATAAACAAGAGAATATTGACGAGGAAAAAGTCAAACAGTATCTACAGAATGCTAACCTACCGAAGATACCTAAAGAGACTGAAGAAATGCTAGAAAGCAACATAACAATGATGGAATTAACTGAAGCACTTAAGAAACAAAATAATGGGAAAGCACCAGGTCCAGATGGGCTTCAGGCAGAATTCTATAAAACATTTCAAGAATCATTGAGCATTCCATTGCTAGAAGTTATGAATGAAGCTATGTCAAAGAAGATGATACCCAAAACATGGTCAGAGGCTTATATTACACTTATTCCAAAAGAAGAGGCTGACCCACTGCAAATTAAGAACTACAGACCTATTTCTTTATTAAATGCAGACTATAAAATCTTTGCTTCAATTTTAGCAGAAAGACTTAAAAAGTACTTAAATAATTTCATTCACCCAGATCAAAATGGATTTTTGCCAAAGAGACAAATTAGAGACAATATGAGAGTAATCTTGGATACTTTGGAATACTATGAGGCACATCCTGAAAAGCAAATGGCTTTGATATTCCTAGATGCTCAAAAGGCATTTGACAACGTGAACTGGAGATTTATGTTATTACTATTGGAACAGATGGGTTTTGCCAGAAAATTTATCCAAGCAATAGAAGCCATATACAATAAACAGACAGCAAAGGTAATGATGGAGGGAGAACTTACAGACTTTATCAATATAAGAAAAGGCACAAGACAAGGATGTCCCCTATCTCCTTTGCTATTTGTATTGACTTTGGAAGTGTTGAATAGAAATATTAGAGATGATAAAAGCATAAAAGGAATGAAGATTAAAAAGGAAGAATTCAAACTGCAAGCCTTTGCTGATGACTTAGCCTTTATTTTGGAAGGTCCGTTAGAAACAGCTCCAAAGTTATTGGAAAAGATAGAGATATATGGTGAGGTGGCTGGTTTGAAAATAAATAAAGACAAAACAAAGATTGAGACAAAGAGAAGAACTGGCAGACCTGTTGAAAATCCAAGTTACGAATAAGGTCAAGTATCTGGGGATACACTTGACAGCAAGATGTAGCACATTAAAAGAGAATAATTATATTAAACTTAAACAACAGATAGCTACAGACTTGAAGAAATGGGAAAACTTGCAATTGTCATTAATAGGGAGAATTTCAACAATTAAGATGAATATTTTACCCAGAATCCTATTTCTGTTTCAAACAATACCAATTAGGCTCGGAAAAGACTATTTTGATGATTTAAATAAAATTATGTTGAAGTATATATGGCAAGGTAAGAAAGCGAGAATAAAGCTAAAGCTTTTGCAAGATGCTAGAATTAGAGGTTTTGGCCTGCCCAATTGGGAATTGTACTATCAAGCTGCAAGTTTGATGTGGGTCAAGGAATGGATAACATTAAGAAAGACTAGATTGTTGACACTAGAAGGTCATGATTTGCTGTTGGGTTGGCATGCTTTTTTATGGTATAAGGGAACTAAAACACAGGGTTATTTTAGAAGACATTATATACGGGAGTCTTTGTGGTTAAACTGGGAGAAGATAAAAAGACAATGTTATTTGAAAATTCCAGTTTGGTTATCGACTATTGAAGCATTTTCCTATCCTATAATTTATAAGAAGGAACAAACAGTTAGATATGGGGAACTATTGGATGAAAAGGGTGAACTTAAATCGATACAAAATTTAGAGGAACAAGGTATAAAAATGAATTGGTTTTCATATGCGCAAATACATTCAAGGTATGATGAAGATTCTAAAACAGAGGGATTCTATGATAAACAGACTGATCTAGATAAGATCTTGATGGGTACTGATGAGAAGGTGATTAAAAAATTATATGGTTATTTACTGGGAATTAAATTAGAGGAAGAACAAGTTAAAGAAACTATGATTGTTTGGGGGAAGAATTTTGGATATGGGATTGATTTAGAGAAATGGCAAAAATTGTGGTCTCAAAATTATAAAATGACAATGTCAACAGCATATAAAGAAAATTTTTATAAGATGTTTTACAGGTGGCACTTTCCCCTGACAAGAATAGCAAGAATGTTCAAGAACAAATCTGAAAAATGCTGGAAATGTCATCAGATACCTGGCTCATATTACCATATGTGGTGGACTTGTGAGGACGCTAAAAAATATTGGACTAAAATTCGCATGTGGTTGGAAAAAATGACAAAGAAATGTATAGATTTGAAACCGGAGGTTTTTTTATTGGGAATCTTACCAGATACATATAGTAAAGATTTGAAATATCTGATTGTAAATGTGTTAACAGCGGCTAGGATTGTATTTGCTAAAAACTGGAAGAATGAGAAAATACCATCACAGGAAGAAATTATTAAGAAAATATTGGAATGTGCTGAGATGAGTAGATTGACATTTGAAATTAGAGAGCAAGAGGATAAACAATTTTATGAAATTTGGGATCTTTTTTATCAGTGGCTAGATGACAAAATACGATAATAGAATATTTAGAAAGTTAGATAGCAAGGAATATTTTTATTTTTTCTTTTGCTTATGTTATTTGACATTATATCTATAAAGTGTTTTTAGGATAGATTTGGTATGATTATATGATTTGTTATAGAATAAACTGTTTAAAGTATTGTTATCTCATAAAGCATGAATGATTAAAAGTATAGTCAAATGATTTATTAATAGCGATATTAGGATATATAAGTTTGGATTGACAATATGAGTTGTTATGTAACATAACTGTAATTGAGACTACGAAATGAATGCACAAAACTGATGAACCAACCGACACACTGTACGTACATAAGAGAGTTGATGTTTTAATGTTTTGTTTGTCTTGTTTGTTTGTAGAAAATCAATAAAATTGTTTTTTAAAAAAAGATATTTTAAATGAAAAGGGTGAGCTCAAAACAAAACAAGAATTGAATGAACAAGGGTTAGAAATGCATTGGTATTCATATATGCAAATACAATTAAGGTATGAAAAAGATATCAAAGCCGAAGGGATTAACAAGGAGTTGACAGAATTTGATAAAATACTAACTGGAACAGAAGATAAATTGATTAAAAGATTATATTGTTATTTATTAGGTGTTAAATTAGAAGAAGAACAAATAAAAGAAACAATGACAGCATGGGCAAAAAAATTATATATGCTATAGAATTAGATAAATGGCAGAAGATGTGGGATAGAAACTATAAATTAACAATATTGACAGCATATAAAGAAAATTTGTACAAGTTGTTTTATAGATGGCACTTAGCACCAGCAAAATTAGCTAAAATGTTTAAAGATAAATCAGCCAAACGCTGGAAGTGTCATCAAACACTGGGAACATACTACCATATGTGGTGGACTTGTATAGAAATTAAAAGATCTTGGACAAAAATACACACATGGTTGGAAAAAAATGATAAAACAACATATAGACTTAAAACCTGAAATATTTTTATTAGGAATGGTACCTGAAGGTTACAGTAGAGAATTTTTTTTAATTATATATGTATTAAACAGCAGCTAGAATTGTATTTGCTCAAAATTGGAAAAGTTACAAGATACTGATAGAGGGAAAAGTAATTGAGAAAATATTTGAATGTGCAGAAATGAATAGATTAACATTAGTAATTAAAGAAAAAGAAATGGAGTATTACATGGTATGGGATTTATTTTATCAATGGTTAGAAAATAAAACAAATTAAACTGAATTATATGAATATATAAACAATAAGATAATGTTTTAAGAATAGATATATTAGATAAAATGTATAAGAAAATGTGATTATTGATATATTGGTAAGAAAAGTGTTCATTATAATTGTAAGCACATGATATATGTACCTAGTCGACATACTGTTGAAATGGAATGGAATATATAAAATAAAAAAACCTTTTTGGTTAAAAAAAAAAGCATTAGTTAGTTCTCTTACACATAAATGTAATCAGTGTAGAAGATTTAGTGGACGAAGTGAAAAGCGGGGGGGGGGGGGGGGGGGGGGGGGGGGGGGGGGGGGAGAGAAGCTCCACATTCTTGAATGTTGGACTTCAGGGATTCATTAAGGGATTCCTGCATAATTGAACTTGGATTGAACTTGGTGGTCTAAATGTTTCCATCCAGTCTTACGATTCTACTTATTCTATTTATGTGACAGCAAAGGTCTTCCTCTCCAACTGAAGCATTTTAAAGATGAAAAGCAAAGCAGACAAAAGCGTTCCAGAAGCTTTATAATACCTTTCGAATTGGGAAAAAAGCTGACCAGGCGACTAAGTTTTATATATGAACAGTTCAGTGTGTTCGCTAAGGACTAGAAATACCTCCCCCAAATACCTCCTTTGACATTCCAATTCCGGGATTCCAGCGCCGACTGAGGCGAATAAATAAGTTAAGAAAGAAAGTTAAGTAGAGCTTCAGTTGGAACATCCCTGTGTGAAAGGGTTGTTTTTAAGCTACTTAATCATTCATGTTTCCCTTTCCCTCGCTGTGCAATTTGCTCTCTAATTGCTTCTCTTTGCATTGATCTGGTACCGGGAGGAAGTCTGCTGATTTACTGAGACCTCATTCCTTCTCCGCTTTCACCTTCCCTGGCAGTATCTCTTTGCCTCTATTTTTAAGGCAGTCTCTCGCCGCTCAGCACCTGTTCTCGCGGCTCGGCGCTCAGAGTTTGACAGTTCTCCTGCCAATGTAATCTCGAGCAAGCTTAGCCAGAGGGCTTTGCCTGCGCCGCCCTCCTTTCTTTGGCTCCCTGCTGCCACACTAACTCTCTCTCTCTCTCTCTCTCTCTCTCTCTCTCCCTCTCTGCCCACTCTCGCTTCTCCGAAGAAAATAGAAACCTCTCCTATTCAAACTTTGGTGGCCTGAGGGAAGCTTCAGCCTGCCGAAGCAGAGCTTTTGGTGTCCGGTTAGGCGCGTGGGCTTGGCCATGGCTGAGGCAGGAGGACAACCTGAGGAAACGTCTGCAGTTGACGAGTTCATTGATATTATCAAGAGCAGATCTGGTAGGACAAACGATTTGGGGAGGTTACACATGCGTGTTGGATTCGTGCTTTAAGAACAAAAGCCCCAAGCATCTTTTCCATTGCGTGGAAGAGGTTCTTAATAACACAGAAAAAGCTGGCTCCGACGTTGCTGTTGGGGAAGTTTTCTGTGGCATACTGGGCGTTCTTTTACTAAGTTAAACTGTATGTCCAACTAGAGCTGGGAATGTGGCACTTTGGGGAAAAGCCTGTGTGCATTTAATTTCCCTCCTCCTCTGGCATTTCCATATTTTTAATCTCATTTGAGACTAAGTGATTTTAAATCACTTGTTCCTGAGAAGCCACTGGATATGTGGCTGAGAATTAATGTAGGTTTAAAGAAAACAATGGGATGTATGGGATATGGATGGGTGTACATGGAAAACAATCCCATAGAAAGAAAAACATTTATTTTATTTAGCATTTTTTTAATGTTACTTTTTTATGTTACTCTGAGCAAATTGTGACTTGTTTTGGATTATTAATGCTGGAAAATAAATAATAATAATAATAATAATAATAATAATAATAATAATAATAATAATAATAATAATAATAATAATAATAATAATAATAAT